CTGCTTCAGCCTCTTGAGTTGCTGGTGTGTGTCACTGTACCTGGCAGGATTTCTTAATAGACTGAGGAATTCATAAAGTCATCTGTTTATTCATCTGAGATTCAATAGGCCTTCACTGACCACGCACGATGCACATGCCATGCACCAAACGCAGCACTAGACATGTTTCCTATTTCTCTTTTAAACTTCTTGTAAAGTAGTTCACAATCAGGTAGAGAAAGAGTCTGAAATGCTGGTTAGTGTTTGAGGTTTTATTTTTTTCCCTGAAGACAGACCATGGAGAGCCTCAGCAGAGTTCTCAGCAGGGAGGTGAGATGGTCTGGTCACTCTTGTTGCTAAATGGGGTTGGAACTGGATTGGTAGAACTATAAAGTCAGGGCTCTGGTTAGTGGGTTGTTGGGATGGCCTACACAGTAGCTCTCACATTTAGTGTGCTCTGAGTCACTAAATAAGTCACTTAGGACTTATGAAAACACAGATTGCTAAATTGCCTGGCCTGGGATGGAACTTGCGATCCTCCTGCCTCAGGCTTAGTGACTTAGTAAGACCCTGTCTCAATAAATAAATAAATAAACAAATAAAGCGTTGGGAGTGTAGCTTAGTGTGGAAGACTTGGGTTCAGTCCTCAGGAGTGGACAGAAAACAGACTGCCAGGCTCTATCCCCCGAGTTGCTGATTCAGTAGGTATGGGGCAGAGTCCAAGAACTGGCACCTCTAACAGGGTCCCAAAAGTCGATGATGCTGGTGCAGGGGCCACGCTTGGAGAACTACAGGTTGCTGACAGAGAGTGAGGTAGTTCAAGACGTTGAGAGAGGGGGTGCTGTATGCCTTCTGGGGTACCCACCTTGTTTCCTCCACGTGAATTCCACAGGTGAACACTTAAGGGTTAGAAATAGCAACATTCCCTGAGGATTGACTTGTGGAGGTGAGGGGAAGGTCTCAGACTCTTCTGGGGTGAGAGGCAAGTTTTGAAGGATAATGGTGTCATTTATGGGGCTATAGAACTATGGAGGAAAGCAGGTGGGGGTTAGTGGTGGGGGTGGAGGAGATGTTGAATCCAATCTGGACTGGGAAATACAGATGACTGCAAGGATATGTCTGATGGAAAGGAGATGTCCGGCTGGCAGCTGTGTGGGTGGTCTCAGATCTCTAGCGGGTGGGCATGAATGAGCTCGTTAAGACTACAGAAAGGAAGAATAGGCAGCAGCAGAGCCTCTGAGAGTGAATAACTGAACATGCAAGTGGCCAGAGTAGGAGACAAGAAGGCGGCATCTGAAGGTACCAGAAAGTAGGGAGAGGACACTCAAAGAAGCCACCAGACAGGCAACTCATCCTGCCCCTTTGACCTTCCCAGGCCTGTTGGAGAGAGCAGGGGGATCCCCAGAGCGAGGCATGGCATGAAGCCACGTGCTGCTTCTGGACTTCTCCCAAAGGCCTCCACCACTCTGCACGCTGTGAACTGACATCTGTCCTGTAGCTTGACTTCTCGTGTCCTAGTGGATGAAGCTGAGGGGCGGAGGAGGAGGAGAAGGAAGCTTGCTACAGACTCACCCACCCACATGTACAAAAGCACACTCTCACTCCTGACCTCTCAGCTGCTCAGCTGTGCTGCCTCCATCACCTTTGCTGTAGTTCTATCCTCTGGAACACTGTGAGTGATGAATTCTTGGCTGCCACACTTTTTCCCATAGCCTCCCAGGCTGAGATGACCCTGGCCTGAGCTTTTCACCAGCCATGTGTCTTCGTGGAGTCTCACCGGGAACCACATAGTCCACGGTTTAATGGTGTTACCTTTCTGTTTCCTTTTTATCTAATTTACCTCAATGTTTTACCTTTACCTTCTCCTCTCCTACTTCATTAAAAAGGGATGTAAGAAAACAAATAATCCTCCCTGACCTCCACATTTTTGTTCTGATGTTGCAGAAACTGAGCTCAGAGAGGAAAAGAGACTTGGCTGGGGGCACAGTCACTCAGAGACAGGACTGAGTCCTAGGCCTCTGAGTATAAGGCACTGTAGAATAGGGGAGAGGGGCGGGAGGGGAGCCACCCCAGGGCCAACCCTTAACTAGCTGCTTGCCTGTGGGCAAGTCATTTCACGCTGTGCCTTGTTCTTCACCTGAAAATGGGGGTGATCCAGACATCCATTTCAGAGAGCCATGGTGAGGGTAATATAATATTCCCTAACTACTTAGCACAGAGGCTGGCACTTTCTGTAATAAATGTTCACTGTGATTGTTTCTGCTATGCCCTGTGTTCTGTGCATCTTCCTGCTTTTTAAAATATCTTCCCTCTGCTCTCTTAATTCCTGTTCTCTTTGGCACTTCTCTGACTTTCCTTTCTTTAATTCCTGTCTCTGCCTTCAGGAGAAAAGGGCAGAGTTCTGGGGAAAGGAAAGAGGGATTGACTGTAGAGATTAGAACATGCTTGACAGCAGCCAGCACCTGTCACGGTAACACACAAACACATAGCCTGTGCATGTTGGTGTAACGATCACACCCCTTCCACGTGGCTCAGTTACACACGAATTCACTCAATAGTTCCTGGTGTCACAGACTCACACCCAGTCAGCCCAAGCCCCTGTGGCTTCACACACATCTCGAGTGCAGCTCTTGTAAAACCCCATCCCAGGCAACAGTCTCTGCCCAGTTTGAGACTCCAACTTCCTCAGACTCTGGCTTGGACTTGGGGTTTACCAGCCCAAGAAGCCTGAGTGAAGTGGGCACCTTCGGAGAGGTTTTGATCCGGAACCACTCAAGAGACGTGGCAGGACCCCTTGCACATAGTGACACAAGCAAGTACAGGCGCTGATGCACTTGAGTTTTCAGCCCACAAACTTCTACATTCACAATCGTCCACCTCACTCAAAGTCAGACGAGGAGTTAAAGAACTGGTACCCATTTCACAGATAAGGAAGCTGAGGCCAGCAAGAAGTAGTGCTTTGCTCAAAGGCAAGCATGAGACACAGCTGAGCAAATGTAGGGCCCCTGCAACCCCAGTCTCTAATCTGTTTCCTCACAGCTTCGAGCTTGGAGCCCAAAGGCCAGCCCAGACCAGCCGGGGTGGAATTCACTCCTCCCCTTTCCCACCGGGACCAGACCCACCAAAGCCACGCCTCCCTTTTTGCGGCCACTGGGGAAAAGGGAGAGCGGCCACAGCTTGTCTCTTTAATGCGCGCCCCCGGAGGCCCGGCGCGCCCCCGCCTCTATAACTGGAGTGCATGGAGCAGGCTGCGCTCAGAGGCAGCAGGGCAGGCGCTGGGCACCCGCTGACCGACTTTTCCAGGTGTGATCAGCGCCCGCCCGTTCCGCCTCCATGGACCTGCCCGGGGACACCCACCTCTGAGGACCTCGGCCGCTGGGCTC